AAGGAATACAACTCCATTTCTGAGAAACAAACTGAAACGATATTGACTTTAAATAATCTTATAATACAGGATTTAAAGTTGTATAAGTGAGTAATGAAGCATGACTCAAATTACACACGACGGATGAACAGGGTGCATATGTCAAATACATTTTAAAACTTCTACAGATAATTTCAAAAGATGTAGGTCATCACAAAAACATTAAAAAAAAGTTTATACCACTACTGTTTTCCTAATTTATATAGTATTTTGCGTTTAATCTTTTATCTGTGTGAAATACACACCAACCACATGCTTATAAAAATAGCCACGTCATTAAAATGGCGCTGTAAAATACTGCTGAATCAAACTTTTAATTATTTCATTACAGTGCTTGTAAACCTTCAGAATGCACACAAAAAAGGAAATAAAAATAAGCAAGCACAATTCTGAATAATATACTGCAATGAATGATTGTGCATAAGGTTGTGTGTTTGTTCCTGCACAGAGTTTAACAAAATGCTGTACGACAATAATGAGCTGCTAAAATGTTTTAATCACTCGCGAGACTCAAACATGCTGTGACTAACAACCAAGGTGTTACAACTCTAAATCCCCACCTAAAACATCAGATCACATGTTTATTGATCATTTATTCACCAGCACCAGACAGGATAGTCTAAGCCTTTAACAATCCTGACTGTAAAATCTACACAAAGGAGCCACTATGGAGCTACTATTGAACTATCAAGTTAGTAACGGTGAAATACTAAAAAGATGAAATGTTTAATACATTTTCTTGCAATAGTCTACTGCTATGTTTTATTTTAAGAACTACTTTATGATGGAACTTAAAAGTCTAAAGAAAAGCTGTCACTTGGGTCTGAGCTTTAACAAAAGGAGTAAGAGAAGAGTGTCCACACTAAAAGTGATTGATTGCCGTTTGGTTCTGGGCTTGGACTGCTAGTGAGAAATGACTGACAGCTCATTAGCCAGATGGTTGATCCAGGGGGGCTGGACAGCAGCATTGGGCTGGGCCACAACCAGCATGTTCTGCAGCAGTAATGTTTGGCCAAAGCATGTTGAACATTCAGATAAATGGTAAATGGACTGTACTTATATAGCACCTTTCTATCTTATAAAAACACTCAAAGCTCTTTACAACACAATCTGTGCCCTCATTTACCCATTCATACAGCACTCTAATATAGCTATACAAAAATTAATCAGTGCTTTATCACATTCATACACCGAAGGGACACACATCGGAGGCAATGAGGGGTTCAGTGTCTTGCCTAGGGACACTTCAGAATGTGACTGCTGGTGGAATCGAACCCCCAACTCTTGCATTGGAGAACAACTGCTCTAACCACTCATCCACAGCCACCCTATAGCAATTACAAATTAAGGGTAGCAGAAATATAATCAACTGGAGGGAGAGATAGAAAAAAGAAACGAGAAGTTGAGTGAGATTGACGCGTTTAAAAAAAATTATTTTGTGAACTTTGTAGGTGTATTTTCTTATGAGTTCCTTTGTTTCAAAGTTAAACCAGATGACTCATGAAACATCACATTCGTCTACAGACAACAAGTTTTGTTTTTCCCCCCCTATGGGAATCGTGTTGTCCTCGACACTCTTAATGAATGATAGCTAGAGTTAATTTAAAATGTTTGACGCACATCTGTCCAGGAACAGCGGTACTGATGATAACATTGCATCTGGAGCTAAAGGTTTTGCAGGCAAAGAGGACAGCACAAGGTGACACATCAGGCCAATCATTACCTCAGGAGAAGTTCACATTTGTTTAGTCTGAGTCACTAAGCCACTGCCACTATGACTGACAAACCGAAAGCCACATCAGATGAGACATTAGTGATAGAGAGCATTCAGACATGGGGAAAGAAAAAAAATGCTAGACAAGGACCAGAAACCAACATCTGACATCACCGTCTTCACAAAGTGCTGTCTGTGAAAAGATGAATGGGATTTGAAGAGGACAATTAGAAACATGGCCATTTTTTTTTCTGGATCTATTAAACAAAATTAATGTTTTCAGAACAGTCATTTTCCACAAGTACTTTCACACAAAGCAGATATTTTCCACACTATTCTATTTGGATATTCAGGAGGCAGCATGAATCGTAGGCTGAACAAGGTCGACAAATACAAAACTGGAAATAAAATAAAATAAATTGAACGCAGGAAAAAGGAGGAAGCATCAACGTGGGAGTGAATGCAGAAGAGGAACAAGCAAGCAACACGAATCGTCTGTAGGAATAGATCTTGTTGCTACAAATGTATGCTGATGAGTCAGAGCAGGCCTGTGATGTGATAAGAGACAAATCTGACAAAGAAATCTGCTCAAAGCACAAAAATCCGACGCTCTTTGAAATAAGTCGTGCTTCGTCGCATTTGCTTGTGTTCAAGTGTGCGTGCTCCAATTGAAAGAAAAGGAGGGGGAGGAGCGACATAAATGTTTCATCCTTAACTAAATTTCCATTTTTCTACCTCTGACATCTCTGTTGGCTTGCACTAACAGGAAGGGGGAAGTGTTTTGCTTTTTCATTTCATGTGATTTATCAAAACTGAAAAACTAAAGTACAGCAGAGAGCTTTTAAATCATGACTCTCAATGCTTTAATCAGAGACAGCAAATCCTTCAAAACAGTTATGACTGTCACAATCGACCCAACCCACTTTCATCTCAACACGAAAAAGAAACCAAAGAAAACACCTCTGATTTAAATCTATCTTCCGTGTATGAGAAGGTCAGCACAGTAAACAAGAGTCTATCCTGCTGAAAGCAGCAACCACCTATGTTAAAACAGCAATGTGTTCTAGCTACACCACCATTCTTTTAGAATGAGCAAATAGAAATGTAACACCTGGAATTGAAACCCGAGTAAAAATAAATGATAGATTATTAAAGCAATAGTGTTTTTAACAGCACAAGTGCTTAGATGGCATTTAATCTGATAAACAGAAACAGCAAAAAAAACGTGAAGATAAAAACACATTTACACACAAAACAAAAATTTCACAATATATTAAGTTAAAGAGGAAGCATTTTAGAAATGGGTGTTGCCCTTTTCTGTACCAGATATGACCATTAAGACCTCTGACTAACTGAAGGTCCATGTTGTATAACTATGACCAAATAGAAGATAACAACAAATATAAAACAATATTTACAAATACCAATATATATATATATATATATATATATATATATATATATACACACACACACACACACACACACACATGTCTAACGTTAACATAAGTTACAGGCGTACTCTTTCTTTCTTTTTTCTCAGAGGTTGGGAAATCAGGTTCTGAGGAATTTTCAACCAACACCACAGAAGTAGGTTTTCGATTGTACATGCAGAGAAGGGGTCAGATTTTCAACCTATAATCTTACACATTGCCTGGAAATTGATTTTAGCCTGAAGGAGAGAGGATGACAGCTGCTGAGGACAACACAGAAACAAGGACTTAAATAAGAATAACATACGCACAGAAACTTGGAGTACAGCGTGCTCATTATTAAAACTGAGTCACTGAAAGGCTATTTTTCTTTTAACATCCCTCTAGAAAGAGTGTGCCACTTTAAATTTGAGCTACTTGCCATGTGTGTGCCACTGCTGTAAAATAAATGTGCAGACGGCACTGCAGTGGTAATCTCGTCTTACCAACCATACGAACACTGAGCATAGCTCTTAACGCTACCAGCATCAACTGCTTTTAAATTTGGCACAGCAAGTGCAGATTTAGATTTTGTGTTCCACAACAGTAGCATACTGAGAGATGGTAATAAAAGATTGTTTGCCAGCTGAGAACTCAAGGTTGAAATATTGAAAATAATAAAAAGAATGTCAGCACACAAGAATACACTATATTGGTTTGTGGCACTACGGTACTCACACGCTTTCCACATCAGTCAGAAAAGAAACGGGCTCAGTAAGAAGATGTGAGGCACAAGAGACTGACTTAAATTGTGTCATCCTGGACTTCAAATAGGCAATAATACATTATTGTTGTCTCTTTTTTCTCTAATAGTTGCCTATCCTATCATCAGAGCAAACACACTGGTATTACACAACAAAGTCTCTTAAAAGGAAACTGAATACGAACTAGGTTTAAAGAGAAACTCAAGTGAAAGAATAAAATAGCTGCTCTGACAAATGTTGGATGATGATGGAAGAAAATATATGATATTCTAGTGCAATTTAGACAAAATACAATTTTTGTAATATCTATTTAAAAAAAAAAAATCTGATTATGTGAATGTTACTTAAAAAGCCCAAACACAATTTATTGAGCCTTGATCACTATGGCAGCTCCTTAGCTGCTGGCTTTGAGAAGTGTTAATAATGCAACATGCTGCTACATTCCGAGACAGAAAAGGAGTTTAACAGAATTCATGGGAATACAAAGTTCATGACGTTTTTTTCATGGAAAATGTCAAAGAATGCCTGATGATTTAACATCCAACTCTGGACAGTTAGATCATGTCCCGAGTTGCCTAAATCACACATAATTACATAAGATTGTATGTGGCTGATCCATTATAAAACCAGAAAATTGATCATAGTGGTGCTTGGATAGAATCCCCTTTAAGATAGAAAGTAATGCAAACTATCCATTGTGGACATTATTGCACTTATGTTTAAAGTACATTAAGTGTGGCGAACAAGATAAAAAATAAAAAAAGACAACACTACGGTTTGTACGATTAATATAAAGTAAGATGAATGATCTGACAAAATCAGTCATTAATAAAACATAGCGTTTAGTTGCTCTGATATTTTACTCTTTTTGGTTGTAAAAGTGTAGAAAACTGACGCAAGAACGCCACTGACGACTCCTATTTTGCTTAAGATCCAATATTCAGTCCATTACATGAAGAAGCATTGAAGCAGGTGGGTAAGCAGGAGGAGAGAAAGCAAGCTAGCTTTTATTCATCTGCTCTATCTGCATTATGTCAGTGAAGATGAGAAGGGGGATAAGCATCAACTCACCAGCTCTGTCCAGCCTGCATCATTCTGAAGCACCTAATTCATCACAACGACATAGAGATGTAAAATATACATAAGCATCAGCCTCTGATGAGCAAATGAATAAAAATAAATAAACTGCTGCAGTATATCTAATACTAGGTTTGAACATGGTGGCACAAACAGAAACAGTTGAGATAGGCGAAGAAAAAGGGTGGTAAAAATGACATCATTTTGTCGGATGATACAGGAAGCGGTGTGGAGGCCGAAAGGAGGTGAGATGAGCCTAAAAATATGCAATAAAGATATCAGCTGAAGCTCTTACATCCAAACTAGTTAACTGATCATCAGGGCAGCAGAAAGCATTCGCCCAGGAGATGCTTACTGACACAGAATATGAGTATTTAGTGTGAAAATGGTACCCGTGGCCACAACTCTACAAGTTTACTAATGCCGAGCAAACCAATTAGATTGGCTAACAGCGAAAACAGAAACAAAAAATGATGAGAAATGTGTCGTTTTACAGATAAACAGTTTTGCCAGTAACGTTGCTAACAAGCAACCGGTCTCCGCAGTTCACACACTTGAAACGCTGGCTAACTTACCGGTGATAACTAGCTAGCTAACAGCAGTGCTCTCGCTGCTGTCTGTAATTTTGTTCACCTCGTTCAGTGACTGTGCTTCATGTGGGACAATGGTAGTTATATGTATGTCTGTGCCACCTAAAAAAAATTCCCCAATCAGTTTTAAAGACTAACGTTGTAGTTCCTGTGTTTTTTTTTTACCTTGCGTCTCCTGGTCTCAGCAGTACCACTCCAAACAAAGCATTGGTATATGACTCGAAGATTTTGTTTCCAATTATCCACCTTATAACCGTTCACATGGGAGCACCCGGCCGGACTCATGACAAACAAAACATTCAGTATGAATTTGTAGGTGACAATAAAGAGTCTCCTGGGTTATTCACTTAGCTAGGCTACTTAGCACGAACTATCAGTCCAGAAATGGTTTCCGTTTGGAAATGGGACAATCGATGTAGTATCCAAAATGCTCCACAGGCATCTAATAAGCACGGTCTTGAACCAACTAGCTAGAACCAGTTTGTGTAATCATCCACGAAAATGATCAGTCCTCCAAAATTTCTATTCTCCTTGCTGTTTTGACACTTGTCTTTTCCTTTAACGTTAGCTCTACTTCTACTCTCACGATTCGTTAGCTTTCTTTCTCTAGTTAGCCTGCTAACTCTCAACTCCAGCTTCACAATGCCCGCCCATGAGGATCGTGATTCGTCAATACGGACGTGATGTCACCACGTTGAATTTTGAAGCACGCCGGGTGCGTTTGGTTTGTGATCCAGTAAGTACCGTTCGTGTTAATTTTGGAATTCAATTTTGGAATTCTGGTTTCATCCATGACATTGCACTGAAAATAAGCACCTCCCGTTCAGGATGAACGGGGGTATGTCAAGAATTCAACATTTGTAACAGCGTTGTTCTGAATGGTGTAAACTGAGTCCATAAGTACACTTTGCTCCATTTAATCTAACCGTTAAATACTTTAGTTATTCAGTTTCTTTAAGAAGTAGTCTTATCTTAGTTTAAAATGTAGTAAGTTTTCTGAATTCTAGTCGAATTTTAAGCTTTTTATTCTTTTTTTTAAACAAATCATAAGAGGTCTACTTGATTTCTTATTTGAATATTTTTTTGGATCGTGTCCAATATTGTTTAAAAATATATATTTTTTAAAATTTTAGGTTCCAATAATTATCTAAACTTTTTGAAAGTCACAAACATGCTAATCCTGCATTTATCTATGCATTTCAACATGATAGTACTGTAAAATTAATGATTTTATAATGCTTCTTCAACATTTAAAGTTTATCCAATGTGCTACACAAGCAGTTTGATTTTAACTTGACAAGGTTTGTAAATAGTTTGCTAATCTATTTCTATTTTTTTTTATTCTTATTTACTTTTTTCAATGTTTTATGTACATTTTATTAAGGCTGGTTATTTTTTGCAAGCTACCCTGTTGTGTTTTCAACAGTATAAAATCAAAATGCTCAAAAACCTATTTAATTTTTTTTTGTTTGTTTGCTTGCTTGCTTGCTTATTTGTTTGTGCATTTTTTACTCTTTTCCTCAGTTTGTGTCAGCCATGAAAACCGTTCATGTTTTTCATTAATGCACAAATCATTATGTTTATGAGCTCTTTGTGCAGGTATGTTGTGTGGTGGATGTAATCTAAAACCTGTGCATTAAATTTGAGCAGCTGCACAAACTCTCAGACACATTAGAACTGAAGGAGTGACGCTTCTTGATTGCTCAGTTTAATGCTGCCACCTAGTGTCTGTTACATGTATGGACACGGATTCAAAGGTAAAGTGAATATTCTGTGTGGAAAAAAAGAAATAACGTTTGAAAATGCTGCCAATTTACATTCTTACAAGGACAAATGAAAAAACAACAACAATTGTCAGTCTGAGAATTTTATTTTATTTATTTATTTATTTATTTTTTTGGGGGGGTGGGGGGTAATGGGAAGAACTAAAAATGTACCCTTAATAAAGGAAACAATCTAGAACTTGTCCTTATATTACTTTTGGTTGTGGGAGTAAATTAAGTCAACCAGGAAAAGGGTCCTGGTTCGTCCCAGTCTATGCCCCCTCTCTCCTGGCTCCCCATCCAGCCTCTAAACGACAGAGATCCAGAAGATCCCAAAAATTAGGAGGTCAAAATATCTGTCTAATCCTGTACAGAGGACTATGGGGGTGCCATTGATACAGTTCCACAGTCAAAAATTAACAGCAATATTGCCTTTCATGAGAATTTTTTTTTCAAAGTCATATTTTCACCATGTTATTCATACATTCATAAATGTAATAATTCCAAACTACATATTTAATTTACAAGCTAAATATTTAGTTTACAAACTAAATACTTAACTTGAAATCAATTCAGTTTATTTATATAGTGCCAAATCACAACAAAGTTGTCTCAGGGCACTGAACAGGAACATTCACATACATTAAAAAGACAATTAGCAAAGTTCTCTATCTAAGGAATCCAGCAGACAAGTTGAATCTTGGCTTCGTTGCAGTCTCCCATCCTGAGCAAGCACAGTGGCAACAGTGGAAAGGAAAAACTCCCTTTTAAAAGGAAGAAACCTAGCATAACTAAGAGACAGCTCAGGAAACCCAAGCCAAACCTGACTATAGGATTTAGCAAAAAAGAAAGTTTTAAGTCTAGTTTTAAAACTGGACAATGTGTCAGCCTCATGGACAGAGATTGGAAGTTGGTTCCACAAGAGAGGAGTCTGATAACTGAAGGATCTGCCTCCCATTCTGTTTTTATAAATTCTAGGAACCACAAGTAAACCTGCAGCCTGAGAGCGAAGTGCTCTGTTAGGAAAATATGTAACAATAAGATATGTAATATATGATGGAGCTAGGTTGTTGAGAGCTTTGTAGGTTAGAAGTAGGATTTTGAATTAAATTCTGGACATGACAGGGAGCCAGTGGAGAGAAGCTAAAACTGGAGAGATATGATCTCTCCTACTAACTCCAGTTAAGACTCTGGCAGCAGCAGTTTGGATCAACTGAAGACTTTTTAAAGACGTAGTTGGACACCCAGATAATAAACCATTGCAATAGTCCAGTCTAGATGTAACAAATGCATGGACCAGTTTTTCTGCATCATTTTTAGATAAGATGTTTCTAATTTTAGTGATTTACGCAGGTGGAAGAAGGCGGTTCTAGTAACATTTTTAATGTGGGGAATAAAAGACATGTCCTGATCAAAAATAACACCAAGATATTTAACATTAGAGCTGGAGGCCAGATTAATTCCATCTAAGGAGAAAGACTGAAAAATTAATTCCTGAGGTGCTCAGGTCCAAAAACCGAAACCTCAAGTAACTTGCAAGTTAAATATTTAATTAGCAAGCTAAATATTTAGTTTACAAGCTAAATGTTTACATCCAAGATAAATGCTTTATTTACAAACTAAATATTTAACATGCAAATTAAATATTTAGTTAGCAAATTAAATGTTTATTTTGAAAATTAAATGTTTAGTTTGGAAAATAGATGTTTAGGTCCAAGATAAATATTTAGTTAGCAAATAAAATTTTTATTTTGCAAATTAAATATTTAGCTTTGAAAATAAATATTTAGGTCTGAGCTAAGCATTTCCATCCATCCATTATCTTTTACCCGCATCTTCAATTTTGAGTCACAGGGTGAGCTAAGTAAGTAGTTAGCAAATTAAATATTTATTTTAGGAATTAAATATTTAGCTTAGAAATTAAATGTTTAGTTTAGAACTTAAACATATAGCTTGGACAATAAATATTTAGTTTGTAAATTAAATGTTTGGATTTGAAAATAAATGTATTTAATTTAAACATAAATATTTAGTTCACTAACTAAATATTTAACTTGCAATTTAAATTTAGTTTGTAAATTAAACATTTATCTTGGACATAAACATTTAGTTTGTAAACTAAATATTTAGTGTGGAGCTAAATGCTTAGCTTGCTAAATAACTATTTAACTTGCAAGTTAAGTATTTAGTTTGTAAACTAAATATTTCGCTTTTAACTTAAATATTTATTTTGGAACTATGGCATTTATAAATGTATGAATTACATGGCGAAAATATCACTTTGAAACAAAATAACTTTTTTTTTCTTATGAAAGGCTAAATAAACCAAAATATTGCTGTTAATTTTTGACTGTACTTTACAAACGCATGAGGACATCTTGCCACAACTGTATTACAACTACAATTAAAATGCAGTTTTATTTCGAAAACATATTTCCTTTTGTGTCCATGGTCTAACGTGTTCGAGAGAGCCAAACCAGACAGACCTGTGCAAACAGTGAGCTCAATACTTTATGAATTGGTGGCTCTAGGAAAGAGTCATGGTTGTAACAGGATAACAGCTGTTTTGAGTTCTTACCTGCAGCTTTAGCCGACAACTAAGACCACACTGATTACTATTATTTATTTCAAACAACATCTAATTTCCTGGTTTAAATCTTTAAAGAAAAGAGAAGAAAAGAAAAGAAAATGTTTCAGTGATTTTTCACTTGGGGGCAGTGTAAACCTGACAGAATAATTTACTGGTAGTTTTTGCTTGTTTGTTTGGTTTGGTTTGTTTTAGGTTCAGTTGTTCATTTCTTTTTAGTTGAAAAATAAAATAAAATGCTAAAACATTTTTTAACTTGTTAAGTTTAGTTAAAAAATGTACAAAATGTTTATATTTCCCCTTTTTTCATTCATTCAACCTTTACTTATACAGGTTAGTCTCATTGCAGACACATTCTTCTCCTTTCTGGCAAACGTTTATTTATTTATTTGTTTATTTATTATTTTTTATGTGAAAATAAAGAATCTAATGTTTGACAGTAAATGCGGAGTTATTAAAAAAGGTGATATATCAGCGTTTAAATGTTCGTTTCATGGTTGTATTTGCTAAGCAAATGTATGAAACAAGTTCAAATCTGTAAGTTTAACTCCTCAAAGCACAACAGAAAAAAAATAGACCCCTCAAGCGTCAGTCAGATGAAAATAATCTGTTGTCTAAAGAGTTCTTTAGAGATTTGTCTGTGTTGCTCTTACAACAAGTGAACAGCCTTCATCAGATTTCTTTAGTCCTTCAGTTGTTATCAACATCCTCTCAAAATGATTTTGTTTGTCTTGCAGATCGTGCAGAAAAAAGGGAAAATCCAATAAACATAAAATATTTAACAGTTACATCATCTTTCAGTTTATTTATTTATTTATTTCAAGCACACAAAAATGCAAAAGTTTGTTGACGTCACTAATTGATCAGAGTAATGGCTTCTTGATAAAATGTACGACTCCGTTGCAGTCATAATCTGAAATGTGCACAAAAGAGGCCTGTTGAAGATCACGAGATGTTGAGAGCTTCACAAGTTTGAGCTTCAGAAAACAGAAGTACAAGGATCTAAAAAAGTTTAATATGGTCATTTAAAAAACAAAACAAAGCAAAACAACAACAAAAAATGTAGAAACGTTTCGTCTTTCATCCGAAAGACTTCCTCAGCCTCTTCCTCAGACTGGGGAAGTCTTTCGGATGAAAGACGAAACGTTTCTACATTTTTTGTTGTTGTTTTGCTTTGTTTTGTTTTTTGAATGTCCAGAGGACCAGTTTTAACTTTTTTTTAGATTTTTCTACCTGGATTATTGAGCATGCATCAGGATAAGTACAAGGAAATTATAATTATTAAGTGCTGAATCATAATTTAATATTAGCCTAGCCACTTCTAAACACAATCTGCATAAGACTGAACACATCTCTCCATTGGTTTGACTGTCAGAAACCATAAATGAAGATAAATTTAAAATTTGCTCTCAATGTATACATTGTCAAAGTATCGGTATACAACTATACATTAAAACAATAAATGTATGTACCAGTATACTCCAAAAGATTTAGATAGATCAGGATAATAAGTGAAATATGCTATGTTTGTCTTTTGAATTACATTGTGATACTAAAATGAAAGTTGCTGCAGAAAGATCTCAAAGTGACCAAACAGGAAGTGGATTCAGTGTGATGGTTTTATCGCTGACTGAACTCAAAACACGGAGCAACAGTTGCAGACAGTCGTTGTTTTGACTGCTTCCTTCCACAGGGCATTTATTTATGTATGTATTTATTTGCAGAATGCCCTTCTTTATGCAACCTTGGATTTGCAGCTTCAGAATGACAAGCCTGCAGCACTGCCCACTGAGCTACTGAAGCCTCCAGCAAGAGTTGCAAATAATGAACTTTTGATTTATGATTCCTGTCTTGCACACAGAAGATTTCATAAACACATTAACCCAAATTGAAATGACCGGAAAGCATTGTTTAACAAACAAACATAACAACTGATTAGAGCTGAACGTACTTAATGACCTATTTCATGCGTTGCTCTTTCCACAAAGCTGAGGATGTATTTGAGAAAATGACATCACTTGTTCCAAAAAGAAGCTGTCTAATTTCTGGGTTGTCGAATGTTTTTGAAATATGCAAAAAACGAGAGAGAGAGAAAGGGAGAGAGTGAAATATGGGTTTAAATGTCGTTCAGCTTCGTTCACAGCATCTTTCATATAGAGAAAAGTGCTAATATTAGACATCAGATCAGCAGTGAGGACATCAGCATCTTGCTATCTACTAGAGATGCTGGGCCATGACCCAGCTATTAGAACCTCTCTGCTACCCTTTAACCCAAAGGATGGGTGGAGAAAAGCGAGTCACTCTGGGAGGACTGTGTTTGGGTTCAAACTGAAGTCTCCTAAAGTCAAGCCAGGCCAATAAGTGTTGCTTGTTAGTCATAAGGTTTTCTCTGAGCTGCGTGTGGGGTGAGTTCCAGGAAGATACAAGTGCTTCATTTTGGTCCATGCTTAGGAATTTCCATTCAAGGCTGGAAATATGATGGAAATAAATATAAAATTGGTGGTTGGGTTTGTTGACAAAAAAATAAATAAAATAAAATCAGAAAGAAAATTGTAAAGAACTGAAAAAAGTAAATCAATAACTGCAGGCTTCAAATGCTTTTAAACTATTTAATGTACCTTAGGTGCTTCGGTAAGAACAGAGACTGAGAAGGAGACATCATGCGTTCATCGCAGGACATAAAAGCAACCGATTAAAATCAGTCAACTTCACAAAACAACTTTGTAACTTCTTCAGTTATTGTTTTGGGATGAGCCAACAAGTATAAAATAGTCAGACCTTCAGAGTTAGCAAGGAACAGGAAAAAAAGCAGTTTAAAAAAATATATAAATTCATAAATAAATCGTCCCTAATGTCATGAACAAACAAAACATTCTGCTTTACAGAATCCTTGCTCACTGAAACGTTCTGCAGTTTCAGCATCTATAATGGAAATCAAGTAAATCAATTACATCATTAACCTAAATGTCAGTCCTTTTCACTTTATTCTATTTTTATTTTCATTAATTGTGGTTTCTGTGAACTTTCAGTGTCTAAATTAATAAATCAATTTATTCACTGTAATTTACTTATTGATTTGACTTTTTGCAATTTTACAATAAGGAAAAAAATACATACCTTAAATCTTATATTATTCTATAAACTGAATACAGTCTTTGTAAAGTTTACATTTTTATCTTTAGGGAAAGTGTTTAAGAGATTTTTTTTTTATATGAGTCCTCTCTACAAATCACTATGTATGAGGCGAAAAATATATTTCTCAGTTCATCCCTTATATCTTATTACTGTTTTTCTTTTATAATTTATACTTTTGTTAGCTGTAATTTGGACCCTGTGTACATAGTTTCACTCCAACACATGTGATGAGAATTACAGTAAAGAATCATTGACCTTGACCTTGAAAAACAGCCTGGTACTAATCAGGTACTTTTATGGTAGGGACCAGGATCATGTATTGTTGTATACTGCTACTATTGCAAGTATTGTCAAATCCATTGCAATTGACATTTTAACTAAACTAATCGATCACAGGGTCACATAGAGACAAATAATCATTTATGCTCTCACCATGGGACAGTTTAGAGTGGCCAGTTAACCTAACATGCATGTTTTTGGTCTGTGGGAGGGAGCCGGAGTACCCGGAGAAAATCCATGCATGCACGGAGAGAACATATAAACTCCACCCAGAGAGGTCACAGGCTAGGGTGCAATCCTGAAGCGTACGCGCTGAGAAGCAGCAGCTCTACTAACTGTGCCACCATGCTGCCCTTCATTTATTGATTGTGAAGTGATTTATCCATTATAATGTCAAGTTTCAGTGTTTTATCCTCAAGTCATCTGGAAACTGAGGCCCATCAAACACAATCAACTCAAATACTCTGTTGGAAACAACATAGCCAATGTGAATTAGCAGTAAGCTGCAGATTTAAGTCCTGACTCACTGTAGCTACTTTTAATTAGACATCCAAGCCTGTATGGTGATATTCTCACCTTTATGTTGGCTAATGAGGGTTTGTCCCTATGGTGTTCATCAGGTGGCTAATGATGAGGTTGTGGGGATCAAGTGTTGAATATATATCTGTGAAAAAAGGCCCATAGGTCACACAGATTTACAGATCAATGAAATCCTAAGAGATATGAGCCATGCCCATGATAATATCAGCCAGTAACACAGAGGGCTGTTTATAAAGAAAGTTCTGTTCACTTCTTACATTTAATTAATTCATTTATTATTTTGTGAGCAGAGCATGTCATTTTTCACAGTTTTCATAATAAAAGGCTCAAACACCAAATAGTCTTGTAAAATTGTAAAGCTTTAAGTGAGGATAGAAGCACCGAGGTCTAACATCTTGGACATTTGGGTGAAAGCTGGGAAAAGCACAGCTAAAGCTTACTCACATGATGATGCAAACAGAGTTACTATTTATGTGCATGTTAGCAGCTACATTTGTTAATTTTGGTTTCTTTTGGGCCTGTTTCATTTTTATCCAACAATAATGTAACGTAAAAATAAATAAATAAATAAAAGAAAAAAGAAACTATACTCTCACACAGGCACATGACCTGAATGCTACACTCCAGTGATTTGTATATGACGCATTGTCTTCCATTAGATCGTATCTTTGGACACAAATGTTTACATAAGTTGTCATGTGTCACTTTTCATGCATGCCATGTGTCTACTATAGACACAGTAGACTGACTTTAGATGGAAGTACCTCAGGTTGCCAAGAAACAGAATGTAGAGCATTTCAGCTAGGTCAGGTGTGTTTGCTCTGTGTGTTAACAGGTCGTTGTTGACCTAATTTAAGTGAAATATAGGCTATCATTCAAACAATAATAATATAAATTATCTGCAATGTTGAGCTAAGTGAGAAAAACTAAAATAATTGCACATCATAAGATAGGCTGCAAGGTCTCTCAGAAAGAAAGAAAAAAAAAGTTTTTTATCAAGCTCCTGCAGTTACATTTAAAGATCACTTACAACATTTGGGCACAAGTGGAAAAAAAAAAGCTCTAATTTTTAGGTAATTTATTACTCATGCAAATGTTATTATACACATTTTTATAAACTTCGGATTTTTCATTGTGACATAAAACTGTGGAAGTAGAGTACTTTAGCACTACCAAGTTACCTAAGCAGTTTTTTTGAACATCTAATAGAATAAAATGTAGCCTATAACTTGAAAAAATGATAATATTAATGCCAAACCTGTAATCCTATAATAATATATTGTCACAATTAAAACACAGATTTATTTATTTTTTGAAACTAAAACATAATGTTCTCTTGGTGAAACTGAGCAATTTTCCTTTTAATTTCAAGTCATTAGGAAATCTGAAAATGTGATGTCATCAGACAGAGGCGTGACGTAAAAGATCTGCGCCGCGGAACGCAAAGAATGATGGCGGTGGCTCAACCAAAGCTCGAGAAGGAAACCGAAGATTGTTCTTTGTTGCCTTCAGTTCATGATATTATAAAATGGTAAGAGCTTGGTCGGTGTCGTGTGCGTGTTGCCTCTGCGTATGTATTTACGGTTTAATCTTTATTTTGTGCAGAAAGTTTCTATACGTGTTTATATGTTAGCTAAAGCTAACCGAGAAGTACTGAAGTGTAGGGTTGCCAAACTGTCCCTGTAGCAAACAAACCAAAAAGTCCTGTTATTGAAACTTCAAAAGAGTTCTTTGTTTTCGTATTTTTAAGATTCAATACAACTTCATTTGTGAATGATGATAATAACAAAAGGTCGCGATTCTCGTTAGGCTACGGTTTCCCACAGTGTGGCAGGCCGTTGTAACATATAATCATATCCAATTCTTTTTTTTTTTTAGAGTTCAGGAAACTATTTCTGCTTGTCAAGATGACGTTCTTAAAAGTCAAAGTTGGAAAAAATATGTATAAAGTGCTATTCCTATAATGGCAAGTTACAAGATCTTTACGATTTAGATTTATTACGAAAAATGAAATTGTAATAATTCTTACAAACTTAAGTGGCTGTTTTAACATTGATTGTCTGCACAGGATATGCAAAATAGACAGTCAAATCGTTTTTTTTTTTTTTTTAAATCTTAAATAAATAACATTGCAGATACCCAGAAAAGCTTTCTATTTGCCATCAACATGTCAGATGTTTTGAATATTATTCCTGGACAAAATATTTCATTATATCCAGTTATGTATGCTGGACTCAACTCCAGATATCCACAAGTTCATTCTTCCTGTCTGTATTAAAGTTGTGGATTGAGGGACAAAAATTATATATATATATATATATATATATATATAGTTAAATTTAAGAATTGTGATTATTTGTTCTATTTTATGCTGTAAATTAGAATTTGTGTCAAAATAACATTTGATGGGTATCTAAAACATACATTTTTTTTATTTAATTACTATAATAAAATGCCTGTGTATTTTTTCGGACAAAGGTGCATTGAAAGAACTGTATATGTACACCCTTTTAAAAAATTGTGCTCAAATCAATAAAATAACTTGTATAAGGTTGCTGAAAACCCAGTGTGTCAATATGTCATTAAAAATAAATGCTGTGATTCGTACATAAACACATTTGTGATATTTTAGAAGTTATCTTTTTTTTTTTTTGCTTTGTCAAGAACAAAAAAGTTGTAATTATACAAATTCCCATCACCTAAAATACAAATTTACCAAATTTCTGTGTTTAATTATTTTTTTGTTTTCTTAAATTGATATGCATGTGCATGTCTGAATTGCTGAGGTTGTTTCATTTTCCTCAATCTTTTGCACTTTGTTTTGATGTTTTGTTTTGTCTCAAATTTAGTATTATGAAGAAATACCTTATTTACTTTTTTGAAAATGTAAACCCAATGTTTGAAGTCTAAAATAAGGATATTAAGGTAGTTTTGTGTGTGTGTGTGTTTCACATATTTCTTTATCTTTTAAAGCATGGACAAAGACAGCCAGGATGTCCATCAGGAGCTGGCAAAGCTGAAGGCAAAGATCCAGGAGGCTCGGGAGCAGATCTCCAACATGCCGGGGATTGACAGCAGTCCACAGGAGCAGCAGCAGCAGCTGACCACACTGAGAGAGCAGGTCCGCACCAAGAACCAGCTGCTGCAGAAATACAAAAGCCTCTGCATGTTTGATGTGCCCAAAGCATCATGAGGCTGAAGACTGCTGCGATGACCAAGGACTTCATCATTACCAATACAAACACAGACACAAGATGGACATTAACTAAAAAGGGGCAGGTTTATCTTTCAGCTGCATTGAACTGAGATGTTTTTGAACATCTGGTATTTTTTTTTTGTTGATATTTCATAAGAGTGGGAATTAAGTTATGTGGTGATTACTGTACTTCTTGTAAATTTTGTAAATAAATCCCTTTTTTAAATAACTTTATCCTGTGTGTTTTTGTAAAATATTCATATGCTGCATTTTTTTTTTCTGCAAAGTGTTGAAGAATGTCAATTTAAAGCTTTAAAAATGAAAACAAAATAGACAGAATTTTCCATTTTAGGTCCGTACATTTAGTTCCATAAGTTTGTTTGTCCATTGCTTTTTCCCCCCATAACTTTTTCCTGGTGTGTCGGGGTTAATTCATTTAGTATATTTTTGTTCTGTCTGATGATTTCAGTCGTTTTTACTGTAACAAAACTAAAAGGCCCATCATCTCATCAAATTATTTTTTTTTACATACAGTCAGCCTTTCTTCCAAAATAAACCAGTTCTGCTTCTGAAACTAGTTGACGTTTTCTGAATGATTTGGATTGAGTTTGAATGAAATCCAATCAAATGATTTACTTTGAAACAGTTTTTCCAATAACTTTCTATTTTTTAAATCATATAATGGTCTTTAAAAAGTCTTAAAATTTAAACTAATACTGAAATGTGTAGAAACTGTTTTGAATCATGGTAAAATAAGGCACAAACAAAACTTTAGTTAAAAGTGCGGACAGGGACTAAAAAGGGTGGGCGTCTTATATTGTAGCTTTTTATCTGTGTCCTGATGCAACTCATGCATTTGATCAAGTGAATATTTCTCTGCAGAGAATTCATGCTCAGATGATGTGCATGTTTTCCTGTGTTTATATATTTTTTTTACTGTATGTGTGAATGAAAGGAAATACCAGAGGAGGACAGGTTAGAAAAGTAGCAAGTGTTTTATTTTCTCATTATGCAAAAAAACAAGGATATAATAATAAATACACACAATTCAGTTTGATCATTCTGCAACAAACATTCAAGTTTCACACTGTCTGAGAATAAAGGCTGAATGTAAACATTCTCTTCAACGCTGCTCTCAGAAAACCCACTTAAAAACACATTTACAGCAATTTCAGAGCAACTTCTGCACCACGTTTTAGATCCTGTTCGGATCTCTACAGGTTTTTTTGGTCTCGTGTTTCCAGGCTGGCTGCAACAGTTCAGTCTTAGAGGGAAAAGGGCTTTTGCAGCCATCTGTCAGCAGATGATGCAGCCTCTCTCTTTGGCCTGGCTGCCTCCTATCGCCTTCTCTTTGATGTACATCAGGTCGCTGTGCACGCTGGGTCTGCGCGCGAGCGGCGCCACGATCCCGTACGCGTTCCCGTCCTTGAACTTCTTGTTTCTGAAGGACTTTCTGTGCAGGACGTCGCAGTACTGCAGGGACACCTTGCAGTGGCGGTCGGGACTCATCTCGTTGGGCAGCTTGGCCATGGTGAAGAGAGTCTGAAACATCTGGTCCACGTTCGTGTTCTTCTTGGCGGAGATCTCAAAGTACGCGCAGTGCTCGTCCCCGCCGACCAGCTGCTCGATCTCCTCGTCCTGCACCTCCCGGTAAAAGTCCCTGTCGCACTTGTTGCCGCAGATGACGAGCGGAACGTCCACGTTCTCCTTGGTTTTGTTGCGCAAACACGACTTGGTCTCGTGGATCTGGCGCTTGAGGCGCTGCACCTCCTGGAAGGAGTCTCTGTTGTCCAGGCTGAACACCAAGATGAACACATCACCTGGGGAAGCAGAAGAGGTTTTAATATGAGACATGATCAGTGTAAAGCTGCCTATACTTCCACTTTAAAGTTTCAAAAACTCACCTGTGAGAATGGAAAGCCTCCTCATGGCGGGGAAAGGATGGTTTCCAGATGTGTCAAGGATGTCCAGCTGGTAAACGTCCCCCCTGATGCTGTAAAACTTCCTGTGAAAGTCCTCAATAGTAGGTGTGTACTGGTCATCGAATCTCTCGTTGAGGAATCGAGAGATGATGGCTGACTTTCCAACTTTTGTGGAGCCCAGGATCACCATCCGGTGGCAGTTCTTTGCCGGAATGTCGAACTCGTTCTCTGACGTAGACATTTTCTTAATCATAGTTTCACCCAGATTCGGCAGGCGGTCGTTTCAAACCCCGCTCCCTCCAAAAAGGTGGTGTTTCCAAAAAGCTTTGACTTCGCTCTGTGAATGAAGCTGCACTGGATCCGTCCGGGCATTTATAGGAGGAGTTTGGCCGCGCCTCCAAATGCGTCATGCGTCACGGTGCAGCGCCGTCAGGGAGCAGAGAGCACGACCCAAAACCAGCATGTTTCTGAGGATGTTTGTGTGCGTCAGCTCTGTCCACCCCTCTTCAGAGTGAAACCAGGAAGATGCAAGCTTTTGTTTTCACATGTACTGTGCATGTTGCCCGTTCGCCACTAATTGCATCACGGGAAAACTCTTGGTTCATTTGGGGTTCACTGAATACACAAAAGAACTTGAAGAGCTCGAGTTCCACTAAGTAAAGACCTTGAAGGAATGCATATTGCCCACCACCTTTAACACCACAGTTTAAGGCTAAGATTTCTTTTTGAGAAATGACAAAACATATTTGGTCAAACTTTGAAAACAACACCTCTAATAAGATATTACTTCTCAGTTGCAACCACTCTAAATTGTAGTCACCCTTCAGTCAATTCAATTCACTTCATTTATAAAGTGCCAAGTCGCAACAGAAGACATCTCAGGGCACTGATCAGAAACATCTATACATAAAAATAATAATTTAGCACTATTTATCTGAGGAGCAGACTCTAACTTTGTCGCAGAACTCTCATCTTGCGCAAGCATGAAGACGACAGTGGAAAGAAAAAAACTCCCTCATGAGGAAGAAACCTTTAGCAGAAGCAGGCTCAAGACAAGCGGCCATCTGCTTCAACCGGCTGGGTTTGAGAGGAATAGATACACAATGGCAGGTCGAGAATCACATGTTAAGATAGAAATAGTATCAGCTGAAAACTATTCAATTTTAACAATTCAATTAAGGAAATTAGGTCAATTTGTCCACCAGTAGTCTAAGCTTAAGGCAGCATAAGTTAACCTTAATTATAGGATTTATCAAAAAGGAAAGGAAAACTGGACAATGTGTCAGCCTTATAGACAGAAACTGGAAGTTGGGTCCACAAGAGATCTTCCTCCCATTCTGCTTTGGAAACTCTAGGAACCACAAGTAAGCCTGCAGTCCGTAAGCAAAGTGCTCTGTTAGAAAAATATGGAACAGTAAGATCTTGAATATAAAAGATGGAGCTAGGTTGTTGAGAGCTTTGTAGGTTAGAAGTAAGATTTTTAATTTAGTTCTGGACTTGACAGGGAGCCAATGGAGAGAAACTAAAACTGGAGTGAGATGGTCTCTCCTACTAACTCCTACTAACTCCAGTTAAGACTCTGGCAGCAGCATTTTGGATTAACAGGAGACTTTTTAAAGAGGTATTTAAAACCATTGTTTAATGTTTTCTAAGGTCAGCTGGCTGTGGCATCCATCCTGAACTCCAAAAATTGATTAGATTTATACATAATTTTCTGACAGCTGAATATATCTTATAATAATAATAATCTTTTGATAAAATGCTTTGCTAACATGACAGACAAAAACAGGCACAAACATCATTGCCTCTTGCCTTAAGTCTTTTTTTTTTTTTTATTAAATTTGACATGCACTGAATCCTCAAAATCACTTGACCAGCAACAAAAACCTCTTGCATCAACTAGAAGCACATGCAGCACAAAGAAAAAGCCTTTGTGCACAAAAGCTTTACTTTATTTCTTCGGTCATCAGTAATGAGTAAACAGACTTTTAGTGGAAAGCAGGCAGCTGGAAAAAGAAAGATGCCCCCCCCCCCGACACACACACACACACACAACAAACATAACACTGTTTTTTTTTTTTTAAGTCCTCACAGCTTTGTGTGGCATCACCATTACGTTTGCTGATTTTGTTACAGGTTAGACAAAATGTATGAATGGAAGCAATCAAGCTTTAAACGTCACAATGAAAACAAAAAAAAAAAAAAGGAGAAAGAAACCAACAAGTGAAGTCCAGCTGCTTGGAGCTGCGTCCTGCAAGCCTCTCAATCCAATTTATATCGACTTTCTCATATGGCCTATTAATTAAAGCAGCCCAAGATAGAGCCTGCAGCTTGTGACTCACACTCCGCTCATCCACTTGGCCATTTTAAGCACTTATCACCTCTCACCTGTCCTCTCACCTGTGAATCAGTTTGAAGAAGGGAAATATAGCAACTAAAGGAGCAAGTCTTAAATATAATTTGTGTCACTCATGCTGCCACATCTGACACATGATTCATTTCTCTCCTCTTTAGAAGATTTCGATGGCCACATTAATCAGCACTTGGTGTTTTTTTTTTTTTTTTCCCAACTTGTATGCAGTTCTTAAGGTTTAGGAGCATAAACATGTAAATATTAAAGAGTTTAGTGTTAGATTTAGTTTAGGGTGTGCTCCGTTTTCATCAATTAGACGTTAATTTAAATCAGTATATTCACTCGGTTTACAAACTTGCACAATATTTTAATTAATGACTTAAAGCAAACTTCATCAAGGTTCAGATCATTGATTTTGTTCATAATTATTATTAAGTGAGCCTTTCTATTTTAGCTATCCTTTTAATAAGACAAATAAATAATGATGCACAGTGCACAATAAGCGCACGTCTGACACAAGCCCGGCCATATGTCTCTGTATTTACCTGCATACCATGTAAAACCACAGACTTGCTGTTGACCGTTTTTAGCCCTCTGTGGGGCAACATGTTGAAATCAGATAGGTGTACTTAAGCCAGGTCGTGTAAAGCTGCAGAGAAGGTTTTGTGTAACATGGGTGGAGAGAATCTGTTCTGCACCTTTGGCTGATTGGGCAGCAACTAAACCAGCGTGTTCCCAGGGTTGCATAAAACATAACGTGCAGCAGGAGACTGTAAAGGTATAAAGGGTACAACAAATAAATTGTCTGCAGGAAAACATATCCTTGTGTATATTTTTTGTTGTTTTCAAATGGTGTGTTCTACTTTTAATTACAGTTTGTGACCTGTAGAGAAGGTCACTGAGGATTTGTTTATAAGAACACCACTAACTTATATGAAGTTTGTGCAATAATCGGTGCAACAATTGAAAGCACATTTTCAGCTTAAACCAATATTTGGTGCATCATTTATTTTCTGATAACAGCTGACACAGAACTGGTCTTAGATGTGAAATGGCAGAGCGTTACTTGCTTAAAGGAAAAAGAAACATCAACATTTTTATCACAACTTTTTTTTTTTTAAGGTTCCCTTTGAAAAGTACACAGACCCTGCAGCTCTGCTTAAAACCAGGTCAGGGTGAGTCCAAGAAAACAGTGCACGCCTGAGTATGTTGTGTTCTCAGGCTCAGCCTCCGAGTGTGTCAGTTAGCAGCTCGTTCTGTTAGATGGATGGACCTCGGCACACACACGCCGTCCTGGCAACACGACCTTCAGCAGAGTAAACACGCTGGTGGCAGCTCACTCTCACTACGGACTAGTATACACATTGATTTACTTATCAGCCATGTTTGCCCTCAGCAATTTTAAGGAGCATTAAAAAAAAAGCCTTTAAAATTACGTTCAAGTGTGAGAATAGAACAATTTACAGCTGAAAAAACATCTTGATTGTCTCCAAGTTACATCATTTGTGCCTGTAAGGAGCACAATGTTGTTAGTCTAACAAACAGAAATGTCGTTTAGCTTTAAAATAGATATTCCAGAAATAGTTCCGTTTTTAGTAACATGTCACCAAACCTGCGCGGTTGTGACAGCAGCTCACACATTTACTGTCAGGAGTGTGTTACATTTTAAACACCTAATTGGTTGGTGAGAAATCTAACAGTTAACAAGAACATAAACTCATGTGGGGTTTCAATATGTTATACAGAATTTATTTAATGTGACTATTGTTCTTTATGGTGCATTCTTCAGATACAAGCTGAAGGTTTTTTTCAACTGTGATCAACAAGTTATTAATACATACACACACACACACATACACAGCCCACCCCCA